GGCCAGCTAACGACTCACCTACTCGTCAAACACCGCCCAACCGGTCGATATCAAAATCCCTCAACTAACGCCCCTTCGTCTGTGTCTCACCCAGCCGCCACCGCACACTCGCTAGTAACTAACTACCCCTACCCACAAAAGGAACCAGAACCACCAAACAAAAAGGAAACGCCGTGTCAACAGGGCAAAGAAAAAAGCATGTCAATACCCGACAAACAGCAAAAAATCATGCCCACACACGGATTCGAACCGGGGATCTCATCATCGCGACTCTCCTTCGTAAGAAGGTGATCTACTAGTGATGCGCTTTACCAACTAAGCCATGCGGGCTGATTGTGGGGTCTTGATTTAAGTTGTTGCTTGATAGGGATGAACTGCGCTTTGCACCTTAAGCTCAGGGCTCGACGTATTTTATTTAAGCTTATCTCTTAACTATTGGCTGTCTAAGCGGTATTTTACCACTTACGGTTACACTTACTGCATTCCTGTTTGGGGTTAGTTCGTTGACTTTCTTTTACACGCCTCGCGTAACGCACACGAGACGTGACGTGGAACAAAAACGGAAAAGGAGGGTTAAGAGGCGAAAAGGGGGAGAGGCGAGGAAAAGTGAGTTTAGGTTGTTGGCAAAAAGTAGATGAAAAAAATGAAAGGCAAATGCCCACACACGGATTCGAACCGGGGATCTCATCATTACTAGTGATGCGCTTTACCAACTAAGCCATGCGGGCAGATGATGTGTTGTCACCGGACTTAGTGCTTTTTGAGGGGAGTTGCTTGCATACGTAGGATTTCTTACAACGATCCATACACGGTCATAATCGATTTATCTGATATTTAGAACAGGTACAGTGGTACGGTGGTGCACGTAGGGGTATTCTGTGTATAGTTTTATAATATATAGTGTGACTCTACTTGGTTGAGATGGGAAATAATCTAGGTGGTTTTATTATCAATTTCTATTTAGCCATTTTGATACTTCTCATGTAATTCTCAATGAATCAGCAACAAACTGTTGCTATTAACCACCTTGCTACCTACTATAAATATTCTCTACAGTCGTTTTTGCATTTAAATTGCCTTCGGATGAAATGAAACCGTAGTCTAAGTAAGCCAGGTAACTAATACCTGAAGAATACCCTAGCCGAAGACTCCATAGCTTAATGGTTGACATGGAGCGTAGCCATAGTTGCTGGTATGACTAGATCTATACTCCGTGTAAATACCTCCTAGATATACCCAGGACAGCCGGACGTGTTAACGTTCAATGGAATAAAATGCCATCATTACATCAGATAATCCCTTCCTTGCGGATTTGATATCTAGCCGGAGGGAAAGACAACAAAAGCTTCACCGCGCCTTCTACGCTGGCTGGCAGAAAACACAACATGGCCGCAGTGACAGCAACGACAGAGGAGGAGGCGTCTTCTCCTCATCTTCACCACCAGCGACAGCATCAACATCTTCTTCCTCTTCGCTGCCGTCCTCTATCATTACGGGAAGCCCGTCTGTTTAGTGAATAAATGATCTGGTCATTGTTCTGACTCTCCAGCTATCCAGCGCTGTGTCTCGCTTCTCTCCTCCTTCTCCTCCTCTTTTTCTTCTTGTTATATATACATACCCACAGCTAGTTCGCCATGAGGTTCGAGAACTGGGATGTCCTGCTCTTCCCTGAAGGGTCAAAGGTACCTGTACAGGAGTTCAAAACGAATTGCTTCGTCACCAGGGACCACGGTAGGCCAACACGTCCGCTATTCGTCCCCGCTAAGTCACCTACCAGGAGCTAAGAATGGACTCCTTCTAGAATCTCCGTATCTCCAAGCCCAAGCCGTTCTGAATCCCGGGCCGTATTATAGTCAGACCGGTGCCCAGGGGAATCCGGGACAGTTGCCCGTGTTGACATGTTTTCTACCAAGTTTGCCCCGAGACGCTGCCTTTAGGGTATCTATTCACAGCTGGACCAGACCTCGTCCGACTCGAGTCATGGAAGGCTTGATGCAGCCGGAAGATTCGGTGATGTTTGAAGTTAGGATATTCATCGATGGTATATGTGCTTCGTATGTGACTTTGCATAGCCTCCGTTAGCCCTTCCTGTCTCTCTATTTGATACTGACTATTGATGGAATAGGGCAAGCTTGTTCAACCAGCAGACTCCTTGGCCTTATGTCATTGGTAAGTTCGGCCTTCAATGGTACTGAACCCTTATACACAAGGTAGCTAAGCTAATATGTGCTATATACTAGACCTGAGTACTCGTGAGTAGTATCCTTGGTGTGCTGTATTTAATATCTATTAACTCTTGCAGAACTTGATAGGAATGGAAACCAGGACAATCTGCGGTTTCCAATGTTCCATGAAGAATTACTTCATCAGGCACACTGGGATGCGGGTGACATGTACGGTCGAATCCGCGTTGTTATAGCAGAAGGCTTCACTCGGCCACTCCGCAACCCGCCCTTTGAGCGAGTCAGGGATCTTATAGCCTTTTCTTACCAGCACGCTCCCCTCGGTATGTTCAACACTAGCGGAAAATAGAGAATGAGAAAGTGAAAGAGTCAGATTTTTTCTAACTTGAGTTTGATCACATAGCTGTCTTGGAGTCTTCGGGTATAGCATGGCCAAATCCAGGGATGTGGCAGCAACAGCCGGTACCGGCTCTCGACATTTTCTCAAGCAACCTCTTGGGCCTCACTACAGTGTCGAAAAGGATGAGGATGCTCATTCGCACTCTCCAACCCGCCATGACATTCGTCAGTTCAACATCCAATGTGCTCAGCTTGGGGTCGGGCTCTCCAACCTTCCTTATCGAATGCAACCGCATCCCGCTCCACCACAGTTTAATAACAGCCCGTGGTTGACCGAGATGGCCACTGGATTGCACCACCACCTCAGGTTTCGGATCCCTTTGTTGACCCTTCAAAGAACCCGTGGCCACCCTGGCCCTTCAAGCGCCGCCACTCAACCCTGGATGACATCTCTATGCCAGACTATATTGCATCAAGCTCTTCGAGCAGCCGTGTGATTTCTAACACTGCTGGCTTGAGCTTTTCACGAAATCGAGAACCTGCCCAGCTGGCTCCTATGGACGATGAACGGTATAACCAACTAATCAAAGCCATGAGTCCAAGTAAGGCGACGAAAGGCACCAGTCCTCCGATGAACACGCCAATGGCGGCTAAAGTAACCACAAAAGCGCCTTTCGTGAGAAAAGAGGTACCAGTCGCACGTGACCAGGAGTCAGTCCAGCGCTCTCAGGGAGCTTTCGCAAACCTGGCGGAAGATAAGAAGAGTAAGGTCCGGATCCAGCCCTTCGGTCTAGAAACTCACTTAACGAATTGCCGCCTCAATCTCAGACAGGTCTACTTAGCCCTAGCCCTAATGTCAGGGGCCGGAAGGAAGGGAGCCTCAGCGTCTATGAAGACGACAAAGAAAACAGCAGCGGCAATGCCTCCCCAGCTCACAGCTCACGAAAGGCATCCTTGACTATAGAGGCCGCAGTGATGTCGGTGGAGAGCAAAAGAAAAAGGTCTGTAAATTCAATTCATTCGCGTGGAGCGGTTGAAGCTGTGTCTCCCTCTTCATCGAAGAAGATCTCCCGTCGTAAACGAGATGAGCAGCTGCAGGCTGAGTTTGAGGATTTCCTGTCAGCAGCAGCAAAAACAGATGCTCTGCTCTCTGAAGTTGAGCTGGAATAGCAACATGCACAACCGGCCAGGCGGAGTAAGTGAAGGCTATGGGTATCAGACAGCGCATGCAGTATGGCTTAATTACTTGCTACAAGGAGCATTTTTGTACTCACATCTTTAACCAAGCAGTCCAACAATGCAAGTATTTCACTTATGTAAGCACATTTAACGACTCCGTGTCTTGCTTGTGTCAACGTCAACTCAAGTGAAAATATATTGAATCGACGGATTTCGAGGTAGAAATGCTCTTTTAAGAGTAATTGCCGTTGTAATATATACTATGGGGACATCTACGAAGTATAGGAGGGCTTGGATCGTTCCTTTTGGCGGCTAATATTATTTTACACCTTGATTATCAGGATTTCCCAAGGCCCTCTTGAAGTGAAGACAGGAGAGTCTCATGATAGTTGATATCATCAGAGCTCTTTATTCTGTATTCACCATAATTTATTCACTATCCCATGGCTTAGAGATGATATGGCGTCATCTGCGTTGGACGTGGTATATATACCCAGGCACATATATATATCACCCTTCGACAGCAAGCTATAACGCAGATGTTGACAAGATTTAAAACATCTGAATGATTCAGTTGACCCGAATACCCAGCGGAATATTCCTAGCAAGAAATCCCAGTCTTCTATCAAAAATTTCGTTCTTGATGCAATATTTCTTTGCTGCCCCGGCAACCTTCCTCTCTGCTTTCCTTACATACAACCAACATACATCTTCGTCTCTCTTTGTCCCTCTATCCCTAACATCTCTTAGTCAACAGTCAACGGACTCCAACCTTTTAAAGTGGCCTTGACATGCCATCTGACGCCAATAGCAGTCCTAGTGAATACATCAGCATCAGTGACTCTGATAGTCTGCGCGTTGCGGTTAGTGAAGACATAAAGTCTCTGGGTTCCTCATCTCCCGAGGATATCAACTCCAGAGACTCGCACAACTCCTCTCCTGCCGACCCTCATCGCGCAATGCATCGCTACTTACCTACAACTGTAGGCCCAGAAGAGCTCAAAGACCTCATCGAAGACCTTGTTCGCCCCTTTCGCACGCACTCGACAGTGATGGAGGCTCCGGCGTCTCGCCTTTCTCCTGCTGCTGTTGATGCTGCGTTGGCTCCACGTCCAGCACCGACATCAACACCAGGGATTGCTGGCTCTGGTGACGCGCCTGCAATTGATGCAGAGATGCCTACTGTCGCAACACCAGATTTACCAGGCTTAGCCATGTCTCCACCGCTGTCGATGATGGTGCATCCGAGCCTTGAGGCTGCTACAGGCGCGAGTATGGTTGATACCAGTTTTCTTGACGCGTCGATAGCCGATAAGCCGGTTGTTAGCTGTGACTCTAGGGTGGTTGGGGGCGTGTCTACCGCTCCATCAGCTGGCGTATCTTCCGCCATGGCTACCTCCATCCCTGCAGTTTCGTCCGCTTCGGATACGCCATCTATGCTGATTGCTTCCACCAGCCCAAGAACTGTTATCCTCGATTACATCCGGAGTAATACTCCACAGCAGTTGGGTGCAACGTTTCTGGCCACAACTGCCTCTACCATTGCACCGATCCCGGCAAAGTCAGCTACCCCGTCGTTGATGCCACCTCCACCAGTTGTCAGCCAATGCCATAAACTCGCGTTTGGACAACCTTCTGCGCTCCGTAGCTCCGTGGCTCCATCACTGCATTCGGATACCTCGCCCCATACTTTATTTGGGCAAGGAATTGCTACTTCTTCGGTCGTTTCCGGTACGTCTAGGTACTCTCGTCCTCCAGAAACCGCCGTAACCCCGTGGGGGTGCCAATCAAGTTCGCATAGTCCAACGGTGAATTCCCCACCTGCACCCAGCCTACTTGTCCCTCATAACCAAGGGATGCTCTCTTCTTTTGCAAGTCCTGGACCTTTTTCAACACGAGAAACTAGTCATGCACCAGGCACAACTACAACTAGTTTTGGCCAGCCCCTTGCGCCAGCAGGTCTCACAGTACCTTCGCCTAGGGAGCTCAGCCTAATCAAGGTCCTATGTGATGTAAACACTGCCAAGTTGGAAGACAATAACGCGATGTTCTATTTTGGCGTCATCTGTATCCAGGAACATCTAGCCCCGTCTCTTGAGTACCTACGGTATTTCGACAACAAATGGGTCGTCAGATTGAAATTTGGCGGCCATGAGGTCTCTAAGCAACAGGCTTATCTGACTAAAGCCGCTGCCACTGCGGACGCATGCCGTGGGGGTTTGGCTATTCTGAAAGGTTTAATGCCTCTCTGGGTGGTGCCTGAGCCTCCTGAACTTGGCGTTTCGCCTAATCAACCCCGTTGGAATTCTCTATTGGCGTGTAAGTTGAAGTAATAATAACTTGTATAAAAAGCATAGCTAACAGGCAAACCTTTTCATTTATAGTGTATTGCCAGCAAAGAAGGTATTCCTGACCCAATCTACACCCAATACTCCAATTTTAATGGATATCGCAATGAGGTTGAAGTCGCTGGGCTCTCGTTCTTTGGTGTTGAGAAATGCTATCCTTCCATTGACGAAGCGATTGTGGGATGTGCCCATAAGGCATTGCACTATCTTCTTATCACCAATGGCGCAAATGGAGAATTGATGCATGGGGAAGCTAAGCCTGGAGCCCTGGCAAACACAGTTGTTACTGCTCCCAGTCTCCCAAAAAAACCAGAACCAGTCAAAGTGGACTTGGTAAGTGGCTGAATTGGCATTTTTGATACCTGAGTATTCAATTGACATACATGCTAATTACGTGTAGACAAAATTTCCGTTTATTCCCTCCGGTGGTACTGCTGCCCTCTCAAAGAGGGCACGTAAAAGGGCTGGAAAGATCCGCGGGAAGGAACTGGCTTTGGGTGAAGTTACTAATACACCTAAGAAGGCAAAGGGGCGCGAAACCCAAGGCCCACAGATTCCAACCGCCGCAAGTGCCACTGGAGCCAACTCAGTTAAGGTCAAGACTGTTGAAGACACCGCAGGCAGCGGACCTGGATCCAAACTTGTTACGCCTACATTCTTCAACCCTTCCTTGAAGGCTCAAAACCCATCAACTAACTCCGAGGTTCCCAACGCAGCAGAGTTTGCCCAGGCCATTTTCTTCCAGTGTCGCATCACGGGCAGCCGCTCAACATTCAACAAGAACCCATGCACTGCCAGAGAATTCAGAATAAAACTCAAGTCCTACGGAAATGACCTTCTTCGCGTTAAGAGTACGTCTATACCCTGTGGTTCCTCTATTTGTTTTTATTGTACGTCTCGATGATATTCGGCAGGCTAACGTACGGCTGTGTTGCTACTTAGGCATCTGTGATCGTCTATCTATCCACGCTCCTGATTTTCCAGTGAAGGTTTTTAACGTCAAAGGAAGCCCTATGCACTTTGAGGTTGATGCATTTTTCCACAAAGATGCTGCCCTTCGTAATTTCAAACGCATTGGTTTCACAAAGCACCAGAGTAAGCCGGAAGCCGAACTTTTATGCCATCAAAACACAGTTGTCTTCCTGATGGAAGTTATGATGGGAGTTAATCAGCTGCAAAGTGGAAACTGGATTGAAGAAGCAGCAATGACGGATAGGACAGGGTTCTATCTCTAACTTCATAGCAGTATTTTGGAGGCGGCATTTCTGCTGAGTTTCGCATTTGACCACTCAATGGTTACTTTTCCCAAACATACTGTGGAGCACCAGCTTAAGTATAGTCCTTGGGGATTAAGTCTTCTCGCTTATGGCTCACTCACCCATGCATCATCTCTCCAAATATCCTTGGTGATGCTGATGTGATATGTTCGAGAAGGGGTGACACAGGGTGAACGAAATAGATATGTGGACTTATTTAATTGGCAGAGATACTGAGCTGATATGGAGCCGGAAGAATTAACTAGAATGCCTGAGCCCCCTTTTTTGATCCCTTTAGAATAAGGATGTGACAGTGAATCCATCATCTACAGATAGTAGTGTTGCAAGCAGCATGTCTATAGGCCTTGGACATTCAGTAGTTGTAGTACCGTTAGTACCGTGAAGAAAAGAAACTTATTTCAAGTCATGCGATCTTAGGGATTAAATGGAAACTAGTGTTATAAGAGACAGCTAACGATGACGGAGGAAGGGCTTTCTTAGATAGAGCAGGAAGGGTCACGCTGACATCACCGACTCTCAGGTCTCATTCAACATACAACAGCCGGCTGAAGGAAATCAACAAACTCAAACAGACAAAGGAAATGCTTAGCATCAAAGTGAAATTATGATGAGTACAGTACGTATATATGGGGGAGGGTCAGCAGGAGCAGCGCCAATCGACAAGCATCAGGTGAAAGCTCCCCAGTAGGTCGTAAAGAGGGTGCATCCTCGAGGCTTGCCTGGCCTTGGCTTTGGATAGGTTGTGTTATATCATTGTGGCATATGAAATAGGACCTGACCTGGCCTAGCAGCTTAAGTAGATAAAAGCGGGCAAAATGGTCAACAACGGAAGATAATCAAATGGTCAAGTTGATAGCTTAACGATAGCAGTAGAATGGATTGAATGAGATAAAAGTATAATGCAGTACAGAACGCATGCGATAAATATGAGCAGAGGAGTTTGGGATATCCAGACGAATAGACGGATGGACAGATAGGAAAATTTCATTAGATACCGACGACGATCAAAATCAGAAACAGGAATGAAAAATGAGAAAAGCTGAAGGGAAGGGGAAGAGGTTGGGTAGTTATAAGACACGCACGTAACAACGGGCGTAATTCTAGTCGAGGGAGGGTAATTATCAAATCAACCAAGGGATGCAATCACAGCTCTCGGCGAGGTGGAGAGAGAAAAAGAGAAAAAGAGAGGGCAAATAGTGAGCATCAAACAACAGCAATAATATGGCAGGACTGGGTATGAGAGAAAAGCCAGCCAATCGACGGATCGAAAAAAAGGGGAAAACTAGCAGCACAGTAGCAAGCAAGCCCGAAGACTTAAGCTGTGCTTAGGTTGAGCAAGCAAGGCAGTGTTAAGAAGGAAAACAAAGACAATAGTGTCTTGAATATGACAAAAAAAAAGTTGAAATTGAATGTAGTTGACGAAAAAGAAGAAAGAGTAAGTAAAGGGGGCTCAGGAAAGAAATCGACAAGATCCTTTTCGCTTTTATATTTAGGAGGAAATCAGAGAAAAGGAAGAAGTCAGCTGAAAAGAAAACAACCACCCCTTTTTTGCTTTCCTTCTTTTCATTTTCCTCGTTTCATATCTCGTGGGATAGAGGAATAAACCAGTTGAAGCTGATAAACCATACCTACGTTTCACTCCAGCCTGCTGTGCGGTGTCTTTTCTTTTGTTTCTTTTTCCTGTGGAGGGCAAACAGAGAATTGGACAGGAAGGAAAGTAGGTAGGTAAGTAATGAGTTGATAGGTATAGGTATCAAAGCAGAAGGCCAAACGAGAGGTATAAGTGGCAAGAGAAACATGATATTATGGGGGGAAAGAGGACGAGGAAGCAAGGACAGAATGGAAGAGACAACCAGATATAGGTATAAGTAAAAGAGAGAGAAAAAGCGGAAAACCGAAGCATACACCGACTATCGAAAACAACAGTGATATAGGGAAAGAGGAAATGAAAATGTAAGTAGAGCGGAGGAAGGAGACGACATTAACCAGAAAAGAAGAGACAGCACAATATTCGGGAAGTTAAGCATTAGTATAGAAAACAGCAAAAGGGAGTCAGTTCGTACACCTCATCGAGGGCTGTAGTGGGGCTTTGAAGAGTGGAAATTACATCCTCTCTCCTGTACCAGCCTCGACACCATCAAGGTATGGTGTGTTAGGATCGAAGTTGAATGCCGATTGGTCGTCTGTGTTGAGGAAAGTATCGAAGTCGAAGTTTTCGAGAATATCTGGGTTGTCGAGAGAACTGAAATCCAGGTTGAAGCTTTGGTTCTATAAATATGAATCATTAGTTAAACCATCATCTGTATTGGAATCGAAGGATGCATACGTCTGTTAAGCCCATGTCTCCGAATGGCTGTGACGGGTCTACTTGTCCCTGTGCCTGTCCTGGCTGTGCAGCAGGCGGTTGACCTTGGGCCGGTTGCATAGACAGCATTTGCTGCTGTTGCTGTTGAGGTTGCTGCTGTTGCTGCTGCTGTGGTGGTTGCGGGGGTGGCGGCGGCTGACCCACAGCTTGGGGTTGTGCCGCAGGTGCAGACGTAGGTTGAGCATTGTTTGCAGGAGCATTCTTGTTGAACGAGTTTGGATGGACAGGAGTGATAGGGGTAGAAGGAGTTGGAGTTGGCGGAGGTTCAGACTCCGAAGCTGGGGCAGCCGTTGAAGCCGCATTGGTGGTTGGAACGCGCTTAGCGGGGCGCTATGATATATTAGTATTGAGTTTAGATATTAATGTTTAAAATGGCATACCTTTCGATTGTTATCCTTCGTATCCTTCTTCTTTGGTGCTGGCTTCGAGCTCTGCTGGGGTGTTGGGGGAGCTGCGCTACCAGGCTGCGGTGACTGTCGTCCATTATTTGGAGCCGTAGCCACCGGTGGTGCTTGTGGCGGAGGCATAGCATTTCGCTCTTGTGGAGTTCCGACAGGCTGCCCGGGCTGGCCTTGCTGCTGCTGCGTTTGCTGCTGTTGCTGTTGTTGCTGTTGCTGTGGTGGAATCATTGGTTGACCCTGAGGAGGCTGTGGTTGTTGCCAATTACCACTTGGCATGCGAGCCCCAGCTTGAGCTTGGGCCTGGGCTTGAGCCTGTTGCTGGCGCGCCATTGCATCCATAGGCTGCGTCATTTGCGCGCCAGAGTAGGCTGGATTAGAGCTAGGTGGGCGCATGCCGTTAGGTCCGACAACACCACCAGCTTCCTGCATATTCTTCATTGTGTTGAAGAATGCTGCGCCACCCATATCCTGGGGGATTTGATTACCAAAGTTCATGGATGCTGGCGAACCGCGACCTTGCATAGCATCACCAACGTTGGGAGAGCCGGGAAGACCGGTCTGGGGCATCTTTGGTGTTCCGCGCTTCATCTGCTCGCTAGGGTTCGGTGAAGCACCGGCACGACTGCCCTGTGGAGACGTTCCAGGAGGGAGGCTGTTGTGCATTCCTTGGGCTGCTTGTTGCTGTTGTGCAGCGCCTGGCTGGCCAGGTTGGGCCGGACCTGGTGGTGGTTGGCCATCACGAGCCATGCTGTCTTGCTCCTGGCGAGCGATCAAAAGACGTTTCTTGTTCTGCTGCTCAAGCAACATGAGTTGCATTTGATAGTCTTGGAGGGCATGGTTGCCGTTTTGCGCTCCGGGGGTTTGCATACCGCCTTGCCGCATCTGAGCAGCCATCTGGCCGTTGCTATAGTATTCTTGTGGTATCATCCCTTGGCTGTCATGCATAGGCTGCATCATATCTGGTTGGTTGGGCATGACTCCCGGGTTGATTAGACCATTAGGGATTCCCTGGTTATTCATTGCGGAGCGAGTGTGGTGAATTAGATTTTGATTATAGACCTGAATCGACTTTGCTTGGACAGCTGGGTTCTGGGCCTGGAAGGACTGAAGTTGTGCCGGAGTGAGGTTTCGTGGGTTGATGCCGTGTTGCATCAGAAGAGAGTTGGCCTGTTGCTGGTTCTGCTGGCCCGGCATACCCTGGGGCTGTGTGCGGCCGTTGGGGGTCATTTGCGCACCGTTAACTTGGGGGCCGTCGATGCGCTGGCGCTTAGAGGGAGATGGGGCGTTTTCCACAGAAGAAGGGGATTGGGGGCGATGGCCATTCATCTCCATGTCAGAGTGTTCCCGTTGCATCTGGTGGTGCATCATCTGCTGGTTGCGTATTTGAGCGATTTGTTGTGGAGTCCTAACATGGTTAGTTTCAGTATTCTTGTTGCATTTTGCCATATTAACACAACGTACATATTTTGCGGATTCTGGAGAACAGATTTCTGGAGATTTGCCGGTACCATGTTACCACGTACTCCGCGCATAGCAGCAAACTGATTAGGCATTAGCTGTCCCTGTCGCATGAGTTGGTTTTGTTGCTGGTCCCGTAGTCGCAGCATGTTCTAGAAAGATAAGGAGATCAGTTTTGACAAGTTCACCTCACTTTGGTAGCAGGCCCGTGGTACTCACCTGGGTATGCTGTAAATACTGCATGGCATCATTGCTTCTTGGTTTCTTCCTCTGAGCGGAGAAGACGTCCCAGAAGATATTGAACCAATCGAATAAGAAACTAGTTTGTTGCGAATCACCCAAGTTTGGTCTTGGCAAATCGTCGGGGATGCGCGACTTCATATCCTCTTTACCTTCCTCAGAGTCAACTCCGTTGACTTCTCCATCTCTGCGGTGTGGTGTGCCTTTGTGAGGCGCAATGGTAGTGTTTAGAGTGACGCTCTCGTCCTGTACAAGCGCACGCGCACAGTCATGGTATCCGCGTTTCAGGAAGTAATCGTATATATAGGTGTTGAGCTGGGTGGCCATGGTATCCTGTAAATTCTGATTCGGCTCACTTCGAGGGGCGGAGCCTGATGCGCTATTTATCATGGGAATTCCTCCCATGGGCATACCTCCCCCAGGAACGCCCACGCCCGGGACGCCGACGGGGACGGCGTTACCGGGCATGGCGACGCTGGGGTTCATGCCTTGCATGTTCATCTGGTTCATTGCGAGCAGGAGGCGGAGGTGCAGCCGTCCCAAAGACGATCGGACCTGCTCTCCAGGAAAGAAGTGATTTCGTTTTCAAGGCGCTCTGTCGAGTTTGAGGGACGGATCAAGATTGAACAAGACGAATCCAGCCTTTGCGTCAGAAGGATCAATTTCGTCGGAAAAGTGTCTCATATATGGGCTATCCAACAGGTTCAAGAAGGGAAGAATCTTTCCTGCGGTGTGCAGTTGTGTTATTTTGCGAACGAACAAGGCCGCTAGTCCTGTGCTGGTTTCTTTTCAAGCGCGTTAGTTTTGGATACCAGACCACATACAAGGACAAAAAATACAGACAGAGAGATACACACCTCAACAGTGGCAACAGCCAACCTGTCCTTGCAAGAGAATTGTATCCTCTGCTACAAGGGAAGCGAGGAATGGAAGAGTGGTCGTTTGATGGGAGAAGAGGAAAGGCCTTTCCAGTCGGGCGCCAGAGTGGCTCCTGGGCGATCGCTGGTCGTTCGGCTGGGCTGGGGGGGTCCGGAGGGCGGAGTGTCGACGAAAGGAGATTTACAGGCACGCCGCTCCACGAAGCCTGTTGCACCAAGTCCAGCAGCGGTTCCGTCAGTGTCTTCTCGTGGGGGCCGCCGTGTCGTTGATGCTGGATCTCTAGCAAGGGGAAGAAAAAACGATATGCGTCTCGTCAGTGAAGTTCGTTTTTCGCTGGGGAAGTTCGAACTTGCATCTTCGCGGGCGGTGGCTGTTTAGGGACCGGCAGAAACGCGTGCCCGACGCAGGATTTGGTCACGGGGATGAACTTTTTATCCGGTCACCTGACACTTTCCGGGCAGCAAGTTTTGGCGTCCGCGAGCGCAGTCGACGGCAGCGTAGAGGACAGCGGAGACGACAGCTGGAGTTAGGACAGAGGATAGCAGCAAGAGGCCAAGATAGTTGTTTTTGTTGTTGTTGTTCCGGCAGTAAGGCCAAAATACAGAGAGAGTAGACACTAGACCGTAGATACATGAACCAACCCCAGCACCAGTAGCACATCAGTCAAAGACGAGAGCAGACAACCAAGACGACCCAAGGAAACAAAAAGTGCAGTAGTCCAGAAAGCAGGAGAAAGAAAGGTGGATAGAGCGAAAGACACCAGGTGTTACTCCTCTGGAGGCAACTCGTCCTCAAGATAGCGGACGAGCGTAACTCGCATCTCTGTTGTGTCATTACCCCGTAGGATATCACTAACAAAGTGCGCTTCAACCTGTACTTGGACCTATAGCCGAGTTAACTTGCACGCATCTAGCTCAGTAATAGCTGAATCAACGTACCATCTCAAGTGCTCCTCTTAGTACTCCACAAAGAATATTAGAGTACCATAATTCGTCCTGCGCTCGGCCATCGTCGGGGAGCTCAACAAAGTCGGCCAGTGGGTTCTCCTCAAACACGAGCGAGAACTGCTTGTTATCACTTGTCCAGTTGGTCACAGTGGGTGTAATGTTGAGAAACACCTTGAATCCAACCTATGCTCAGATATAAGGATATCAGATGGTCGTGATATACTCCGTAGCGGAAAGGTGTATACACGCACCTTTGAGATGATGTCGGCAGTTTCCCGGAAGTTTGTGCACCGTCCCATCCCTGACCGTGCCAAAAAGTCTTCTATGAGCCGCATACCTATATTATAACCCATCTTGTCAAGCTGCCGGTTGACTTCCAGGTAGTCATTCTCGTAGTCCGTGCAGAGCTGGGCCACGACTGTTCCGTACGTCAGCGTCACTAGCTCTGCGTTGACTTTGTCAACCTTCGTTCTACACGGGTTAGAACAAAATCAAAGCTGCTAAACAGTTGGGTGAGTGCGTACTTCCATATCCTAGGTTTCAAATTAGCAAAGAATCGAGCCAGATATTTAGTTCCTCGCATTAAGGTGGGAGTGCTTATACTCTTCCCCAATCCGCGCTGCTTTGCTCGACATTGTTCAATTGTGATCGGCCCAATACCTCTAGGTTCACACTTATTGTGCCGTTTAATGTTGTATCCGTAAAGATTTGGCTCCGGCTGTAAAGGAGTGATACAAAGTTGACAGGTACCCAGGTAGTTAAAAGAAGGCATTTCCATTTTGGGGAACTTCCTTGAAGGCCACTAACTACTTTACTTACTAAGCGCGGTTTAATCCACTAGTGAGCGAGTTAGTTAGCCGCCGAGCCGCGTTTCCCAACTCACCGCGTCTAAAAAAATAAAATCACGACCTCAAGGAACATCGCAAAACCTCCACGGCACAGAGCAACCTTGCGGCCAGACTTGCCATATAGGCTTGACATAGTTACATACAGCATACCCACCACTCTATTTCTACTTTTATTACGCAATCATCATGTCTGCAGAAAAGAGGCTAGCCCACGACTCTCTGGGGTCTGTACAACTTGTTAAGCGTCAACGATCAGATAGCAATCTAAACCAGAGTGCCGTTGCTATATCAAGTGGCACCGGGAAGAATGGCTCCCTTATACAGTTTGTAAGTACATTTAACTGGCTTATTTGACTCCATACTTTAAGCTGCAGCTCTAACTTGGATTAAAGGTACCCCGGACAAGTGGCCTCGCTGCTCCCATAATGGAACTTACAGGCCATTCTGGCGAGGTCTTTTCTACCCGATTTGATCCTGCAGGTCATCTTATAGCTTCTTCAGGAATGGACCGATCTATACGTACGCTATCCCTTTGTTCTTTCTACCGTTCTTTTTCTCCCACATTACCCCAATTATCGATAAACCGCTAACAGCCGATTTCCCTATTAGTATTATGGCGAACATACGGCAATTGCGAAAATTATGGTATCCTCACTGGCCACAAAGGTGCTGTTCTCGACCTGCAGTGGTCGCGCGACTCAAATACCTTGTTTTCCGCTTCCGCAGACATGACGCTGGCGAGTTGGGACCTTGAATCAGGCACACGCATAAGGCGCTATATGGATCACACAGAAATTGTCAACTGTCTAGATATCAGCCGGCGTGGCCAGGAGCTCCTAATTAGTGGCAGCGATGATGGGAGTATCGGTATCTGGGATCCTCGCCAAAAGACAGCTATTGATTACCTTGAATCTTCCTCCGCAATGCCCGTGACTGCTGTTGCCATCTCTGAAGCTGGGAACGAGATATATGCGGGCGGTATTGAAAACGATATACACGTCTGGGATATTCGGAAGCGTGCTGTCACATATTCCATGATTGGACATACAGATACAATTTCCTCTTTGCAGATTTCCCCGGACTCCCAGACCCTCTTATCTAACTCCCATGATTCGACAGCACGGACATGGGATATCCGTCCTTTTGCACCTGCAGATCGTCATATTAGAACTTTCGATGGAGCGCCGACAGGCCTCGAAAAGAATTTGATTCGTGCCAGTTGGGATGCGAAGGGTGAGATGATCGCGGCAGGCAGCGGGGACAGAAGTGTTGTTGTGTGGGATGTCAAGACCGGAAAACTACTATACAAACTCCCTGGTCACAAGGGAACCGTGAATGATGTGCGATTCACGCCGGCCGATGAACCCATCAGTAAGTACAGAATTGTGAAAGGAGCTGCTAAGAGGACCGTCTACTAACCTTATGCCTCTAGTTGTATCTGGCTCATCTGACCGAACGGTTATGCTTGGCGAACTTGGGAAATGATGCATTCCAGTTCATTTTCCATATAATCTTAAATCCAGCTGCCAACTTTGACGAACCCATAATTTCGCAGCTTGGATCAAGGTCATTCAGTAACTCCTCTGCACACTCTTTCACCTGAAGCATATCGTATCTCTACCCAAGAGCAGTCTAGCTACCCAGCCATCAAAAAGATGAAAAGGATGCAAGCGAAAATCACCGAGAAGCCGCCCCTCCAGCATCTCACTACCAGAGCAGCTGCCCTTGTCACAATCCCGTGTTCGCACCCGGATTCAAGCTCCGTTTCTTTTATCAATGTGTGCGTGGGCGAGGTCCCTAGAATATTAACCTGTATGTACTACAGAAATATGGCATGCGAGACACTGCCACGACGACAGAGCTGACAGCGCTGTCTAACCAATATTTTTTCCCATGAGTCCCTTTTTCCCAGTGTATCTTGATTTTTTTCCGTCATATTTATGTTTGCTTTTTTAGTTACCAGAAGTGCCAAGGTTGCGGCCAACCCGAAACCTAGCGCCGTCTCGTCTTCATGCAGCACCACATCATCCCCTGCTTCATAGTCTTCCTCGCATCGCAGCCTCACTGGCCAGCAGGCGTCCGTAGCAGAGCCTTATCATGCATGGTTCAGCCAGGCAAAAAGTTGAAGGAACGTCGCTTGTGCCATCTTTGCCTCCTCAGTCGCCATGGCCAGCTTCATTCTTTTTCTTCACATGGCAGGCTGCGCTTCCTGGCTGGACAACAGCCATGCTTGCTTTTCCTCTTCTAGCTTTGACACTTGACGAAATCCTTGGTCAATACTCTTTCTTGTCCAGTCAGCCAGTTTTGGCAGGGTGGCAGCGGCAGAGTGCCCTGATCCGTACGGGGTACGGAGTGCTTCATAGATTATATATCTTAGAGAGAGATATCCTCCCTTCTTCTCCCTACTGTCTTTTCATCCTTTTTTCCGAGTGCTCTAGATGAGTGCCAGGCATATTCCCCTTCCGGGACAGGGTCAGACATCTTGACGATGCCATTTCCTTCGTTTTAGACAGATAGAAGTGCAGTCCAAATTAACGTATCCCTTTTAGCTTGGAATATGTGTACGTTTGCTGGCTGCTGATACCCTTGTTATTATTACTATTTTTTTTTGTTGTTGTTGTTGCAATTGACGATACCCACAGTTACCCTCTCTTTCGTACACTCAATATTCACGGAGCCTAGAGTGCTGGTCAATCAGATTCTGAAAACCTCGTAACAACAGATACGCGCGCATTTAGTTGTGGTGTTTACGTTTGCTAAAAGGGGGCCATTTCAGACGCGGCTAGATGCCAATAAACAAACAAATAAGCGCAGGAAACGCGATTCCATAGGACACATTGATATGCAAACTATGGCGTCCGACGATGGCGCGGTCAATGGACTGACTATGGCGGACCGGGTTCAAAAGATCCGCTCTCGTCTTTCTGCTCTCTTTGCCGGGAATTCTTCCTCTAGCTCCTGCAGCATAGAGAACTCGCATAAACCTCCACACCAGTCTCCAGGAGAGATGCGCATGTTTGCCCCTGGGTCAGGTGGAAGCTTACGCGATGAACGAAACAATCCGTCGGGAAGAAGGTCTATCTCGTCGACTGGCTCCGTGATAGACAGAAACGCGTCGCCAAATGGTAATATACCACCGTTTTCACCTCCTAATACGGAATCAAGCGGCAATACCACGAGCTCTGGGTTCCTGCAGAGGGTCGAGAATCAGATTCATAGAGGAGTCTTATTAGTTAACTGGGTTCAACATTCGGTCAAGGCTCACCCTCCACCAAAACGCAAGTCAGCTTGGAATACCATAATACGGCGGATGCTCTGCATAGGACCGCGGGTAAAAGCCAGGTCAACCAGAAGGAAACTTATAGACTGTGCAGTTTCTGGAATTCTTTTAGCCAGTGTGCTAACTACATGTTTGTTACTCCTTCTCTCCCAACAGTATGCAATTCACTTGCTAATTAGCTCCGCAGATCTTGTTCTCGCCGTCACTTCCTCGGGGAAGAAGTTTGAATTCCATGTCATTCTAATTATTGTTCTGATGGCCTGTACTATATATTTCTGCCATTCGCTCATTCGATTGCTAATGATGGCAAAACGGCGCCCGGTACGCCAGCATCAGATACATCACGGTCAGCCTATCCGTGACCCTGGTATTGTTGAGGATTTTACCATCACTGGTCGACCCATTCCCGTCATATTTGCGAGTGACCTGGAGATGGGCCTTCAAACCGAGTTTGGGGGAAACGAAAACAAGCCCGGTCAAATCTCTGTTCCCCCTCCGGCATACGGTTTTTGGAGAGGCAGCGTGGTAAGTCTGAACTTGAATAACCACACTTTCCAGATGAGATTTTAACAGGAGTATTAGAAAATGGACCCAAACCGACTTTACTGGCAACGTATCGATCCACGGAAGCCTAACCATCGCCATTCCCAGAGCTTAGATGGGCTTCGACCGCCAACTACAAGCCGGCCCCCTAGCTACATCTCGGACGACAGGGAACAATACATTGCCAACCCTCAACCCCAATTACCTCCACATGCCCAAGTACAGCCCCAACCAAGTGGTGCACAGAATACCGATTCGACTCAGCACCCAAACAATACCCCGCCATAACCTTGCCTATATCAGCGTAAATATTCGCTTCTTTTGAAATTCTGATTTTGATATGCCCCTTAGATATCTCCCTTATCAGCTGCTTCTGTGGGGATTTGTTCTTTGTGAGAAATTATTGCAATTGATTAACTAACTACTTAACTAAATTCCGAGAAATACATTCTCACGGCCTACTTTCGAGCCATGTAAATACCATATGATTCTAAAGATGAAATAAGGAGGTGATGGCCGAAGAACAAATTTAAAATTAATATTGATGAAGTACCTTAACTTACAGCCAGTGAATGCAGTCTTGGCTCCGCTGATGTAACTAAGTTAACTAGTTGACTAACTAACATGGACATCTGTCCACATGCCGAGTTTAACTAGTTTGCTAACTAGCAGGGCAATTTAAGGGACTAAACAAATTATTTCAACACGCATTGTACTGATATAATCGCAGCTCTACCCTCGATACGGCCTCTGGTAGGGTTTGGGACTGACAGAGGCAATCTATCCTAATGACATTGCGGCTACCAATTTCCTCTTGGTGATGCGCTCGATCGACCGACGCTCCCATATGTCCATTCACTTCCCGTCATCATGGCTCAGTTACTTGCTCGCCATATCGCTATGGCTCACCTGTACACTGGGCATGCTAGAAAGCCAGATTAAAGAGCTTCGGTTGGTTCTTTTCCACCCATCGTGACAGTAAAGACGTGCGGCATGTCACTCACGAATACATATTGCAGAAAAGAAACAGAACATATGTTTTTTCACGGGTTTGAGAATTACATGAAATATGCCTTCCCGGAGGATGAACTACGGCCGGTGTCCTGTCAGCCGTTGACACGGGATCGGAAGAATCCAGCACATATAGAGCTCAATGATGTCCTAGGGAATTACTCTTTGACGCTTGTCGACAGCTTATCCACGCTTGCGATCCTATCATATCCAAACTCGACCAATCCAAATGGCCGGAAGGCGTGGAGATATTTTCAAAATGGAGTGAGGGATCTAGTGGAATTGTATGGAGACGGATCGGATGGTCCCAGCGGGATTGGGTCTCGAAGCAAAGGGTTCGAGGTAGATAGCAAGGTCCAGGTGTTTGAAAGTGTGATTCGGGGCCTGGGTAAGTGAAAAAAATCTCCTTATCGGTACCCGAGATGAAATCTGATACAGCTAATATGTATTAAATCATTGATAGGTGGACTCCTTAGTGCCCATCTCTTTGCTGTGGGTGACCTCCCGATACGTGGTTATGAACCTCCCCCGGAGGAGACGGAGTTTGCAAAACTTTGGAATAAACCTCCGGGCAGCGAGGGTGGGATTGAATGGGAGAATGGGTTCGTATATGATGGACAGTTGCTTAGACTTGCTATGGATCTAGGAACACGTCTCCTGCCTGCCTTCTATACTCCAACGGGGATTCCGTATCCTCGTGTCAACTTACGCAATGGGGTTCCTTTTCACCCCAATTCTCCGTTAAACTCTAGGATATGGGATGCATATGACATTAATGAAAATTATGATGAAGATACCCCTGTTGAAATTACAGAAAACTGCAGCGCTGGCGCTGGAAGCCTGGTTTTGGAATTTACTGTGCTCAGTCGATTGACAGGGGACGGTAGATACGAAGAATTTGCTAAGAGGGCGTTCTGGAGTGTATGGGATAGAAGAAGCGAGCTCGGGCTTATTGGAGCAGGAATTAATGCTGAGACTGGAGAATGGACTCAGACTTATACAGGGGTAAGCTGCTCTTTATTTGAATAGTAGGAGTATGGAATTGCTAACTATCAGAATTGATATATAAAGATCGGCGCAGGTATGGACAGTTTTTTCGAATATGCATTGAAATCCCATATCTTGTTGTCAGAAGGCTACCCCCCGGAGTTCAATGCTACTGGACCGTTCCATGAATACGATAACTACTTCCTGCCACTGCCATATCAGGCCCATTCACCAGATAGCTTTCTCAAAGTCTGGGAGGAATCGTTTGAAGCGATAAAAAACAACTTATATCGAGGGTCAAGCTACCAATATCCTCACTACATTCAAGGTGACATCGCTACTGGAGCAACCCGCGCACTTTGGATGGATAGCTTAAGTGCATACTTCCCCGGTCTTCTCACTTTAGCGGGCAACGTTGAAGCGGCTGCTGAGAGCCACCTTCTTAACACTGCTCTCTGGACCCGTTTCTCAGCCCTTCCGGAACGCTGGAATGTTGCAACAGGAGACATCGAGGGTGGGCTTGAATGGTGGGGTGGCCGCCCTGAGTTCATCGAATCCACGTATTATCTATATAGGGCAACCGAAGATCCCTGGTATCTTTATGTTGGCGAGATGGTTCTACGCGATATCAAAAGGAGATGCTGGACGAAATGCGGCTGGGCAGGCCTTCAGAATGTGAGGAGAGGAGATCAAAGTGACAGAATGGAAAGCTTCTTCCTTGGAGAAACCTCCAAATACTTATATCTCCTATTCGAACCCTACCATCCTTTGAACAAGATCGACTCGCCATATGTCTACAGTACGGAGGGCCACCCACTTGTACTCCCAGCAATGGCGAAACAGACTACTCCGCCCCGTCTACAGCAGGAACCAAAGGAACATAGGAATACCTCAGTAGGGACATGTGGGCCGCCAGCAGTGCGAAATCCCTTTGGTGTATCCTCCACCGCTGCTCGGCCAGATATATTCCATGCAGCAAGCCTTGCACGTCTTCGTCTGACGCCTCCAAGGAAGCAGCCTGAATCTCCTATAGTTGAGTTTTCGGTTGATGGCCCTAGTGTTACCCTGTCTGATCTGGCTTCTCCGTCGAACTATACTTATTTCCCTTGGACTCTTCCTCCCTCACTAGTACCTCGAGATGCTGTCAGTTCACCGATGGCTGTGCGGCCGACTTTAGATCTGACCTTTCCTCCTCTCTCCAGTACAGTTCAAGGACCCCCAAGCCTGGAACGCGTTGAAGGCGGGATTCTAATCAAGTCCTTTGGAGGCCTACGGCTGGGTATGATTCAGGATGCTCCACTATATTCAGGCAATAGTATTTCCTCCAAGGAAGGATTCCGTATACAAGTTGTCAGCAATATACCCCTGGGCAAGAATGAGAAAGTCTTCGTTTCGCGCGAAACCGCAAGTGCCTTGAGTCCAACCGATCCGAACTTTACACAAACCCCTGATACTATCATGATGGACGTAATCATTGATGTTAAACCGGACATTGTCTACCGAAACAATTCTTCCTCATCTGCCGCTTCCCTTACTGACCAAGGCACAGTTATCAGCGGCGGCCCGGTACTTGACGCTTCTACGGCCAAAGCCAATGACCACGCAGAGAAACCTGAGAGCCATAAATCGGCTCTCTCTTCGCTTCTCAGCCACGTAACGGCTCTGATACGTGACGAGCTTCAGCATCTCCCGTCAGTAACACCTCCGATATTCCGCCGCCCAATAGCCCGGTTCTCAATACCAGCCATTTCGTCCACTGGGATAGGCTCAGCTCCATTACCGGAAGAGGAAGATGCAACATTCACGCCTCCGTCACCCGGCTCCAAACACGCAACAACCCGCCTAACTTGGTCTAGTATATACCTAGCGGGCCACCTGTGTGATAAACGCCTTCCGCCCTCTATTCCCCGAACTCACCAGATAATAATAGTGAAGCGAGGAGGCTGCACGTTTTCCGACAAGCTGAGGAACATACCTTCCTTCCGCCCTACTCGTTCCTCGCTGCAACTTGTTGTTGTCGTCTCATACCCACAGCCTGGAGACAAGCGGCGTCAGTCTACAGCAGACGACGAGTCATCTCTGATTCGACCCTTGCTCGATGAAATGCAGACCGTGGTTGGGGGCTTCCCTCGACCTCGTCCGATAAGCATGGTGATGGTCGGAGGCGGAGACAAGACGTACGAATATTTCAGCCATGCGTTGGGAGTAGGGATCAGACGGAGATATGAGATCCAATCGCAAGGCATACCAATCAGCAATCTAATTGTTATATAGAGTATAACTGCGATGCTTAGGGCCGAAGCGGACCGAGTTACGTTCTTGTTTATTTCTTTAGCCACCTTGGGGTGTTTGTATTTAGTGATGTTGCATTTTTTTCTTTTCCCGCCCCTTTTTTTAGCCTGATATCCAAGTTTGACATCTACTACATATATAAGTGCTTCGACTATATGATTATCAACGAACAGACTGCAAATACAATGACTAGCAAATCGATATAGCTCAGTGAGGTGAAGCGATGCAACGGGACGGCCATAAGTACACTGTTATAATGACACGAATATCTCATGCGTAGTAGACGTCAAGTTTCTCGCTCTTGTGCCATTTCGGGTAACTAAGGGTAGCATATTTTTCCCAGCAAACATGCATTTATAGTATGTATACGATGATGCCTCTAATATAGAAAAAAAAAAAGACCGAAAGGGCAATAAGGCGGCTTACCTTGTCTGAGCCTGTGTGATTTCACTTGCTCTTCTTTCCTGTGCCCTGGACTTGACAGTTTCGGTTGCTTGTTACTCCCTTGTCCGTCGGTTATATTCGTTAGACAAGTCGTCAGTTCGACTTGCGATCAAAGAGAATATTAACCGGCCCTTGGAAACCTTCTTGTTCGAAGGCCAGTCAGTTAACTACCCGACAATTAGTTAGGTAATTGATTGCCTTGCAGAGTGTTATCCGCTTCTCTCCAGTTTCACGATCATGTTCGTCCTCGGTAAGACTAGAGGTTTTGATAGAGATGATGAGGCTTGCCCCAATTGGATAGCGTTGGTCGTATTTTTAATCATTCTCACTCTCCTTTCCCTGGCTATTAACTAACTGCCTTCCGCAAAAGTGGTCCGATTTCCCCGTATAGTTCTACAGGAGTGTAACATGAGAAATATCAGCGTCCAGAACATGAAACCGCTTCCCGAAATCAGTTCTGGCGGCTAGTGGTTGTCTTTTAAGGAAAAGGGTAGAACTTCTTGCCACACCTGCCTCAAAAGCAGCCTAGGCCAAGGCAGTGAGAGAGACAGAAAGACCGCGGATGAGGGCCATCTTTTACACGCTCCGGCCGACGCCATGTATAGTTATAAAGACGGACCAGTCAAGGGTCGACGCGGATTCCATGTGGACGTTGCATCGGGACGAACGCTGTGAGACAGGCCATGACTCAACGACGGCTGGCTGTCCCTCCTGGAGATAGTTACATGGTGACACACCGTATCATGATGCTTTTGTTTTTTATTTTTTAGATTTTTTCCCCCTTGACACTGGCAGAAGGGCCTAGACGACTGTCCTGTGGATGAAGACGGATGTTGTGTCTGCGTGTTCGTGTCCTGTCCTGGAGAGAGCGAGAAGCCGGCCATGGATGACTGATGTCTGCCCATGCCATGCCCGTAGATCTCGGCAAGGGAAGGTCGCAAATAGCAGACGATGCCATACCATCTCGCCCTCTCGCTGTCTGTCTATCTGTCTATCTGTCTTTCCCGCCCATCTCTCACATCCTCTTTGCCCAAGCAAAGAAGACGGGGAAGGGAGGGATCAAGGTCCCCATATTATATCCACAGCAGGAAGTTCTCCGTGTATCAATCGCCCGTCGTTCAGGCAGCCAGCAGCTCCATCCGCCGTAACTTATTTTTTTCTTGACAATACAGAAACCGAAGGATAACTCTGAAAGGTCAAGAAAATGATCAAGGACGGGAGACGCCCTGGATCCCCTTTCGATGCGCTCCCAGGATGCGCCCGGGTTGTGTGTCCTCCCGCTTCACCGACCTTTTGAGTCGCACCAGGCATGTTCAACTTCGGCTGATCCCCTGGACGGTCCTGTTTCGTATCTGTCTGTCTGTCTGGCTGGCTGCCGTCGTTTCTTCCAGGCGCAGAGGAGGATAACCGCAGCGTCTGTGTACTTTACGCTGCTGTATCCGTAACGACTTCACGTTCCGTTAGGGCTGGACCTTGGAGCTTGCAGGGAGGAAGCAGGGAGGATCCAGGCAGTCTCTGTATTTATCATCGGGAGTTTTTCTCCCTCTGCCGTTGGTCGGGTCGAACTAGTCCAAGGCATCAGTCTCGCAGCCAGGAGAGATTTTCAGTTGCCTAGGAAGTTGGTTGGTTGTTGTTTAGTGAACGAGTTTAACTAGCAGGGCGGCCTCTGCTCCCCTCCATCCTCGTCTCATCCCACCCTCACTCAACTCACCTCAAAACTTCACAACCTCCAACTTCTACTTCCTCTACTTCCTCTGCCTCTTCTACTATCTACGATCTTCTTCTTCTTCCTCCTGCCGCTTCGCTTGACTCTTCTGCTCCCGCCGTCCCCCTTTCACTCCGTTTAGCATGAGCCTTCCCCCCTCCGCCGATAACCAGCAGGCTTATCGCGACAAGTCCAATGCCTCTGCCACCACCCAAGTCGCCGGGGACGCCTCCTCCTCTGCCTCCCGCGCCGCCGAACTCGCCAGTCTTAAGGTAAAGCTGCGCTCGTCTCTGCGCCAGTTCCCGGATTTCCCGTCTCCAGGCATCCTGTTCGAGGATATCTTGCCCATCTTCGCAGACCCCGCCCTCCACGAGTCGCTCATCCGCGGCCTCGAGCTGCATCTGCTCGAGACCTACGGTGCAGACCAGAAGCCAGATGTTATCGTCGGGCTCGATGCTCGTGGGTTCCTCTTCGGTCCTACCTTGGCCCTGAGACTTGGGGCTGCCTTTGTGCCCGTCAGGAAGCAGGGAAAGCTGCCCGGGCCCGTCATCACCCAGGAGTTCCAGAAGGAGTACGGCAGTGACTTTTTCCAGATGCAGAGCGACGCCATCAAGCCGGGCCAGAAGGTCATCGTTGTCGACGATATCATTGCAACTGGTAGGTTTTTCTCCGCTCTTCTACGTGAATTAGTTCAACTATACAAAAAAAAAAAAAAATACCCCTCCATGCTAGTTAGATAACTAATTATTTGGCAGGCGGCTCCGCATATGCAGCAGGCTCCCTCGTGCAAAAACTTGGAGGCAATCTCCTCGGTTTCGTCTTCATGCTCGAGCTTGACTTCCTCAAGGGCCGTGACAAGCTCCCTGCTCCGGTCTATACCCTTCTCGCTACCCAGGAGAGCAAGTAGCTTATGATACACACGCTCAGCCAACATCCAGTCATGTCTGCCTGTCAATTATAGAAGGGCTTTTATCCATCTTCAGAACTCAACACCTCCTCCAATTCGTCTGCCAGAGCCAGACCCAACGCAAAGCCCAACCAGAACTAATTCTAATGAATACACACATCCCTGCTTCGAAAGAGCTACCCAATTCCATCTCACTCGGATTAATGTTATACCATGCTATGTTGGTACACAGATTAGTGCTTGATTTAATTCTGCAATCTACTCATTCCGG